TCAGGTTTTGGTCAAGGACGTGAAGGAGTGCCTGGAAGGATGGATCATGCCAGGAAAGCCATATATAACATGGTAAGGGTGAAACCAGTATTGTATTTATGCCAAGGTTTTTGGTGTATCTGGCATAATTCAGCCTGAAGTAAGCAGTTCCTACTTGGGGCTTGGCCATCATTTGACTTGCCAATTGGCAAGGCTAGGCAATAAGCCTCTAGAAGTTACCAGCGCTTCCTCCCTGTGTTGTAAGAGTCAAAACCAAACTCATGATGCAAGCAAAACTTAGGAGAGAAGCACCAAGTTGGGAAGAGCCACGCATGTACATATTTATGACAGCTAAACAGAATGTTTATTAATATTCTTCAGCAGTCAACACTGGCCTGTATTGGAACTATTTTGATGTTACGTCTGAAGTGCAAATTTTAGCCATAGCATTGCAATACCTTGATTGATAAGGAAATAGAGTTTTGCTCTGAGTTCTGCTGAGCAGACTATAGTCTTTCTCAACCTGGGGGTCAGGACCCCAGGGGGTCGCAAGGGGGTGTCAAAGGGGTCACCAAGATCATCAGAAAACACAGTATTTTCTGTTGGTCATGGGAATTCTGTGTGGGAAATTTGGCCCAATTCTATCTGAGGACGCTTGCCATAGATGCAGGCGAAATGTCAGGAGAGAATGCCTCTAGAACAGTGTTTCTCAACCTGGGGGTCGCGACCCCTGGGGGGGTCACGAGGGGATGCCAGAGGGGTCACCAAAGATCATAAGAAAATACTGTTTTTTTGTTGTTCATGTGGGTTCTGTGTGGGAATTTTGGCCCAGATCTATTGTTGGTGGGATTCAGAATGCTCTTTGATTTGTAGGTGAACTATAAATCCCAGCAACTGCAGCTCCCAAATAGCAAGGTCTGTTTTCCCCAAACTCCAGCAGTGTTCACATCTGGGCATATTGAGTATTAGTGCCAAGTTTGAACGAAATCCATCATTGTTTGAGTCCACAGTGGTCTCTAGATGTAGGCGAACTACAACTCCCAAACTCAAGCTGATAATGCCCACCAAACCTTCCAATATTTTCTGTTGGTCATGGGAGTTCTGTGTGGGAAGTTTGGCCCAATTCTATGGTTGGTGGGGTTCAGAATGCTCTTTGATTGTAGGTGAACTATAAATCTCAGCAACTACAACTCCCAAATGTCAAGTTTATTTTCCCCAAACTCCACCAGTGTTCACATTTGGGCATATTACATATTCGGATTCATAATTGTTTGAGTCCACAGTGCTCTCTGGATGTAGGTGAACCACAACTTCAAAATTCAAGGTCAATGCCCACCAAACCCTTCCAGCATTTCTCTTGGTCATGGGAGTTCTGTGTGGCAAGATTGGTTCAATTCGATCGTTGGTGGAGTTCAGAATGCTCATTGATTGGAGGTGAACTATAAATCCTAGCAACTACAACTCCCAAATGACGAAATCCAACCCCACCAGTATTCAAGTTTGGGCGTATTGGGTATTTGTGCCAATTTTGACCCAGTGAATGAAAATACATCCTGCATATCGGATATTTGCAGGGAAGGAGACTAGAGACAAAGTTGAAGTACTTCGGCCACATCATGAGGAGACAGCAAAGCCTAGAGAAGACAATGATGCTGGGGAAAGTGGAAGGCAAAAGGAAGAGGGGCCGACCAAGGGCAAGATGGATGGATGGCATCCTTGAAGTGGCTGGACTGACCTTGAAGGAGCTGGGGGTGGTGACGGCCGACAGGGAGCTCTGGCGTGGGCTGGTCCATGAGGTCACGAAGAGTCGGAGACGACTGAACGAATGAACAACAACATCAGATATTTATGCAATGATTCATAACAGTTGCAAAATTACAGTTTTGAGGTAGCAACGAAAACCATGTTATGGTTGAAGGTCACAACAGGTGGAATTGGATTAAGGGGTCACGGCATTAGAGAGATTGAGAAACACTGGTTTAGACGGAATCCAAGCTTGTTTTCCTCTTGGTGCAGTGGGTTAAACTGCTGAGCTGCTGACCGAAAGGTCACTGGTTTGAATCCAGGGAGCAGGGTGAGCTCCCACTGTTAGCCCCAGCTTCTGCCAACCTAGCAGATCAAAAACATGCAAATGTAAGTAGATCAATAGGTACTGGTCGGGTGGGAAGGTAAGGGCATTCCATGCAGTCATGGCCTAGGAGGTGTCTATGGACAACGCCGGCTCTTCGGCTTAGAAATGGAGATGAGCACCAACCCACAGAGTCTGAAAGGGGAAAACCTTTCTTTACCTCTACATATCATATTGCCGACAAAATGCTAGTAGTGTCAGTGGACGCCAACCCTCAGAAAACAGGCTTGCAAACATTTACTTGGTGCTCTAGCATCCCGTGCGAAGGGACAACTCGTGCATTTATCTCTGACGGTAGCCTCTCTCTTCTTCAGTTTGGAGGGGAGCCCCTCTCCTACACCCGCTTCAGTCTCGCCCGGCAGCCCGACGGGGACAACAGCCACGTTGAAATGAAGCTCTCTGCCGAAGACGAGGAAGTGGGCGAAAACGGCTCCGTTGACCACCTCCACACCCAGACCGTCCGGCCAAGGAACAGCAACCGGCACATCTGGTTCGTCCTTTCTGCAGTAGCCATGCTGTTCCTTATAGGTAAGGCGCAAAAGTGGGAACTCTGTAAACCGGACACAGGCCAACTTGGGCCCTCTGGGTGTTTTGGACTTCAACTCCCACAATTCCTAACAGCCGGTAGGCTGTTAGGAATTGTGGGAGTTGAAGTCCAAAACACCCAGAGGGCCCAAGTTGGCCCATGCCTGCTGTAAACATGTTCTTCTCTTCGCTTCCGTCTTTTCATGGTTATTTCATCGATTTTTCTTGATAGACTATTTCTTAGTCTTTATCCAATTTTCATTATTACCCAAGAAATGTAATTTTTTTTTATTTAGTCCGTTAGTAAGCTAATATTATGAAGAATTGTGTTTACTAGGTGTCACTATTGGAGCCCCCGGTGGCACAGTGGGTTAAACCCCCGTGCCGGTTGGACTGAAGACCGACAGGTCACAGGTTAGAATCCGGGGAGACGCAGATGAGCTCCCTCTATCAGCTCCTCAGGGCTATGCAGTGAACACATATATGACAACATTCAATGCCAATTTTGACATACAACATATACAGACATACAGAGGCTATTTAACTTTTTCTGGCTGCCAGGGGAGCTGTCGCTTTCATCATCCATCTGCGACACTGATGAAGTACTTCCGCATTCCCCGCATGCTTTTTGCTGGAGTGCTTGCTGGAGTCTTTTTTATGGCCTCATAAATTAGTTAATTTAGCCTCCCCACAAGGAGGTACCTAATTTTCCTACTTGACAGATGCAACTGTCTTTCGGGTTGCAAAGGTCGACAACAGGCTACACAATTGGTTGGAAACCCACTCCAACCCGGGCTGGCTTCGAACTCATGACCTTTTGGTCAGAGTGATCTTAATGCAGCTGACACTCAGCCAGCTGCGAACAATTTCAACAGAAAGGAAGAAACCATGAAAATGAACAAAATCTGACTACCAGTATTAAAAAACTCTAAAATCATAATAGCAAATAAAGAACAGCACTCAAGCACAGGGGAACTCCAGACAAGAAAAAACCAGGGACAGCTAATCACCTCTCAACAAAGGATTCCCCCAGGCAGTAAACAAGCTACACCTTAAAATTGCCAGGCTATCAAATCAAGGTGGCCAATGACTACATTCACACCTATCTCCAACAGACAAGAGTTCTTTTCCCCACCCTGGACTATCCACAGATATATAAACCCAATTTTCCTAGTTTCCAACAGACCTCAAAACCTCTGAGGATTCTTACCGTAGATGCAGGTGAAATGTCAAGAGAGAATGCTTCTACAACATGGCCAGACAGCCCTAAAAACCTACAACAACCCAAACGCCAAGTAATTTCCAAATTTTGACAGAGTCCACTATTGAGATTGCTAAAGATTGCATAAAGAGCTAGCTTAGTTAACCAGAAGTGCAAACGATGCTGTAAATTGCACACTGTTGCTTAATTACGGGCAAACTTCAGTACCAGCTGTTAGGAATTGTGGGAACTGAAGTCCAAAACACCTGGAGGGAGGGACGAAGTTGGTCCATGTCTGTTATAGCTGCACTGGACTCTGTACCCGATTGTTTCCATCCGTGCCTCGAGGCCGTGACTGGATGGCTGCGTGCCAGCAGGTTGAGGGTGAATCCAGCAAAGACGGAGATCCTATGGCTGGGTCAACCGGGCAGTGGGGATATCCAGCTGCCTACCCTGGATGGCGAGGCGCTACGCCCGTCATCATTGGTAAAGAGTCTGGGAGTCCTTTTGGACCCTCTGCTGACGATGGAGGCCCAGGTCTCCGCCGTGAGCAGAACCGCCTTCTTTCACCTGCGGCAGGCTAGACGGCTGGCCCCCTCCCTGTCCAGGGACGACCTAGCTACGGTGATCCAGGCTACGGTCATCTCAAGACTGGACTACTGTAACGCCTTCTACATTGGTCTTCCTCTGTCGGTGATCCGGAAGCTCAAGTTGGTACAAAATGCAGCTGCTCGGCTTCTTGCGGGAATTCCGATGAGATGCCACATAACCCCAATCTTACTGCAGCTGCATTGGTTACCAATTGAGCACCGGATCACTTTCAAAGTGATGGTACTCACCTTTAAGGCCTTGCATGGTCTGGGGCCGATGTACCTGAAGGACCGCCTCACCCCCTACCAACCCCAGAGATCCCTCCGTTCTGAGGACCAAGATCTGGAAATTCCCAGTGTCAAGTTGTTTAACAACCCGCAGAGCCTTCAGCAGTGGACACTCGGAACTTGACTGAAGTCGCGGGGGATAAGTGCGGGGTCAGCATACTGTT